CCCCAAAACCCCAAAACCCCAAAACCCCACAATACATCACATTAATTTAGATTAAATAAAAAGAAATTAAGGTTAAGGTAAGTAGTTTATTAAAAGTTAGTTTCCAAATTATTTACCTCCAATCATTGAACTGCCATCAGCATATTATCACTCTGGATCAATTTATAACACTCAAAACTGCAAGCGACTCTGTGAGTTTTAGAACACACATACTTCTTTTAGTGAGTTCCACAATTTGAACATTAATTCATCTCTTATCTTTAGACCATTTTATTCTCTAGTTCATGAATGTTTATTTTCTATCTTAAAACTTCTGGCAACATTATACCTTGGGGAAATACCATCTTTACATTGTTATCCTTATAAATTGTTTTTATGCATGGCCCACATTGTTATATCTTCTACTTTGGCATTATAAGTCTCTAATTTTGGTTAATATATCTACCCACAGTACCTTGTCCAAGAATTTCAGCTCCCAAAGCTTGGAGCTTCTTTTCTCTATCTTAAAATTTTTTCTTTTAATCATCTAGAAGTTTTTCAAGTTATAATCTTTTTATCTCATCTGCTTGTTGCTAGTTTACTGAAGTTCTGCCAGGACCTCTCTTTTTTAATGGTTTTTCTTAAGACTCTTCTTCATTATCTATCTAGACTTTTTAGATGGGCTTTTTATGGGCTAGAGCGTAAAATACATTGTCATTATGTGGATCTGAAAGCAAGCTTTCTCTATTATGCTTACCTATAGCTATCTATTACTACTATTGCTTTTCTTATTCATTCTACTTATTAAGATAAGCCATTCTTTATCTCTTAGTAAGCTTTTCTAAATCGATTTAGTTAGCGATAAGTTGAGCAGATAAGTCTTGGTTTTTTTATCTGTTGCCTCTTTTTCCCTTTTTAGGTGCATCCGAATCACTTGATTCAAATTCACTTTCACTCATTTCCTCATCATCTTCATCATTCTGATTAATCTATTCTAGGTCTTCGCTCATTACATCATCTTCATCATCATCCCCATTGCTCTCATTTATATCATCATCAGAGTCCTATAAATTGGTTTAACTTAGATCACATTTGATTAACTAATCATACCTCTTGTTTATTATTGGTTGCCTTAAGATTCAGTCTTACTTTTCTGTCATTAGTCTATTTAATTTAGATCTTATTTTGATTGTTATTTGCTGATCTCTATAAAATGATTTAAAATTTATCTCCTCTATCTTACCCCTCTCCCGATGGATTACCTCTCATTTGTTTTTTATTGATAAACTACATCATTTGAATCACTGGCATCGTCATCATCATCATCCTCATCATCATCTGAGTAATCCATTCCGAAGTTTTAATTTTGAGGCGTGTTTTGGGCTGAGCTTCCGAATCCTATTCTAATCTTTGAAGATTGCTAAGTCTCAGAGGCTATAACTTAGCTTTACTTCATTTTTTACAAATCTTAGGATGACAATTATATGTAATCAGAGTGCGCTATTTAGTTATTTACAATAATTTCAACTTGAATATCTCTCTTCATTTTATTTCCCACAATAATTCCTATAATTAATATTATAGTTTTAAACTTATATCTTACATTGCGGGGTTTTGGGGTTTTGGGGTTTTGGGG